TAAAGTTATAATTCAAGAATTTAGTTACAAGAAGATTATTAAGTTAATTATTATTATTATTAAGTCTGTTACATGTGATTATTAATTACAAAGAAGAATTAAGAATAATTTATGAGATTATGAAGAGATTATTAGCTAGAAGAAGGCATTGATTAAGTTAAATGAATTATTAAGTGAAATACAGTTGGAGATTAATTATTACTACAGTAATATAGTGACAGTTTGAAGTTAATTCATTGAAGTAAGCATTCAATAATACAACCACAAGATCCAGTATATTTCAAAGTACATTATATGGAAATTACAAGGATTTAAATTTATACATTTATATGGTGAGTGGAGATAAGAAGAAACATATTAAAATAGTTGGATAACCAAGGTACAGATGATACAAATGAGTATTTTTCGGTAACAGTTACGATACGTTCCAGTTCCATGTTCGTACCTGTTCCAAATACTAGTTACTTTTTAACCTAGTATTTTTACATTTGTATGTCGCGCCACGTCTTTTTTATAATTTGTTCTAATGTTTTACATAAATTTATATTTTGTATTTTGTTAACTACTCGTGTACCTATTATTTTTTCAAAACGATCTTATTGTTTTTTTTTGTTTTAATTTTTGTGTTAGGCACACTTATCTAGTTTATTTTAGTAAATAGTAAATAATAATTTATATACTCTTTTATTTTAGTATTATGGAAAATATGTATAAAATCAAACAAACAAAAACAATAAAATCAAACTCAAACAAAATCAAACTAAAAAACTTCTAAAATAATATAGTAAGAACAAGGGACCAATATTATGACAGATTTAATACGTTTAATTTCACATCTTGCATACACCACCGTAATAATCCCGATGTCCGAACCGCCAATCCTAAGTAACTACAAACTAGAACTATTACCTGATCAAAAAATATAACTGATTCCCGTGCGTATCGGTATCCAAAATACCAATACCAAAATATCGATATCAAAGCGCAGCGCAGGTATCGAATATCGACGTTATTGTGTACAGTAACAGTACCAGTTACAGTTACCAGGCTTGATTCATTCCGTGTCCGTCGTGTCGTTGAAAAAATCTAAATGGAACTGGAACTAGTATTTTAGAAAACCGGTAACTGTTACGTTACGTTATATGCTCATACCTATTACAAAATACTTGTTCCTAGTATTTCGTATCATCTCTAAACCAAGGCTTAGTAAGAAGATATCGAGTGGTGATAATAACTTTAATTTTGGAAAAACTTTAGGCGTTCAGTGAAATAAGGTACCAAATTTTGTTAATAATTTAATAATTGTAAGAATTTCAAATTTTAGATAGATTGTTTTAAATTGATATTGCTTATATTAGATAGATAGGTTTGTTTCATAATAGTTATAATAAAGATAATTTAAAAAAGTACTTACAAACTAATTCTTTGAGAACCGCAATAAAAACCCTATACTTACATATATCATTCAAATTTACTCATAGCTCATACAGAAACAACACATCATAACAATATATATATATATATATATATATATATATATATATATATATATATATATATATATATATATATAAATATATATGTATATGTATATATACATATATATATATATATATATATATATATATATATATATATATATATATATATATATATTGCTATGATGTTTTGTTTGTGTATGAGCAATGAGTATTTTTTAATAACAATATATAAATATAGGGTTTTTATCGCGGTTGTCAAAGAATTAGTTTGTAAGTACTTTTTTAAATTATCTTTATTATAATTATTATGAAACACACATATATATATCTAATATAGACAATATAAATTTAGAACAACATATCTTAAAATTGAAATTTTTACAATAATTAAATTATATTAACAAAATTTGGTACCTTTCTGTCACTGAATGCCTAAATGAAACTGTTTTCCAAAATAAAAAGTTTGATTACCACTCAATATCTTCGTTATCAGCCTCGGTTATCCTTGTTTTTGTGAAATTGCTTTTTCCAAATACACCACAATGTTTTAATTATCAGCTTCCACCAATTCCTTCTTTATTATAATTATTATGAAACACACATATATATCTAATATAGACAATATAAATTTAGAACAACATATCTTAAAATTGAAATTTTTACAATAATTAAATTATATTAACAAAATTTGGTACCTTTCTGTCACTGAATGCCTAAATGAAACTGTTTTCCAAAATAAAAAGTTTGATTACCACTCAATATCTTCGTTATCAGCCTCGGTTATCCTTGTTTTTGTGAAATTGCTTTTTCCAAATACACCACAATGTTTTAATTATCAGCTTCCACCAATTTAAAATATTTTTTTTCTTAATAGTATTTATAAATGGGCAAAATATTCTTCTTTCTTATAATCTTATTTTTTCTTCTTCCAATCTTCCAATCACCATATAAATATTATAATTTTAATTTCTTCTATCTCCATATACATAATATAATTTTTAATCTCCAACTAATACTCTCTTTATACTATTTTTTTAATCTCCATGTAATATACTTTTCAAAATATTATAAAACTTTCATACTAAATCACTGTCTTCTGTATACTGACTTGACCAACAAATACTACTCATTGAATACTGTCCACTGTATACTGAACTGCTTGTACTATTTATTGACCGACTGACTGACTAACTTATTAACTAATTAATGAATTGTCTTCTATTGTCCTCGATCCTCCAAATTATAGAGTATTTATATCATTTCAATGTTCCAGAATATTCTTGAAAGAAATCATAATCGAATTCTTCTATTTCCTAGATATATGAATGTTCTCGAATATTCTACTACGCAAATAAGGTTAACTTCCTTATATTGACGTGTTATTTGAATGTTCCAGACAATTCTTTACCCTTCTATCGAGAATTTTGTGGGCATTTGGTTGCCTATAAATATGGCGCACTAAATATATCATAATTATTAAAATAAGAACAAAAACTTTTTTTGAAGTAAGTTTGATTGCCTATTTAGATGGTGCACTTAAATATATTTATAATCATCATAATTATTAAAATAACCAAATACATTGGAAAATAAAAACGATTTGAACTTATTAGTAGAAAGGAAATGGGAGGATATAACATGACATAAAGTAGATGATCAGGTAGTCATAGCGAATGACGAGGGAGACATGGACTACATGTTTAGAAAACTAAAGAAAGAATATGAAACATTGGGCCTCAATATAAATATGTCAAAGACAGAGTATCTTAAAATAGGAGATGACGAAGAAGATCAAGAGTTAGAAATTAGAAACACAAAAACATGCAATGAATATAAATTCGGATCTATAATATCTAAGGAAGGCACTACCAAAAGAGACATCGAAAACAGGAGGCAGCAGGGAAAAAAGCGGTTAACATTCTGAACTCTCTACTATTGTCTAAAGATATTAGACAAGAAACAAAATTGACAATCTATCGACCTTGGTAGAGCCTATTATGACTTATGGGGTAGAAGTTTGGCAGATCACGATAAAAGATAGAAAAAGAATAGAAGTAATAGAAATAGATTTTCTAAGAGCGTGTGGTGTATCCAAAAAAGATGAAGGGATTAGAAGAAACCATGAAGGTTGGACTGTATATTTGCGCTGGTTATGAACTTCTTGTTGAATTAAACTTGAATAAATTAATTATATACTGATCGATATACTGATCGTAAATTCTGGTCTTCAAATATTGTTCTATTTTAGTGGTTTTCAAGATTCAACTCGGTTTTCCAAATCCTGCCCACGCTAACCTTATTAATTTAACCGGTAATTTCGGCAGTTTGATTTTCATTGTAAAGAAATACATTAAATACATTAAATATTGGTACAATTATTAATTATCAAATTCTAAACTACGTTTCTTCTTCTAAATTTCCTGGTGAAGCCTGGTTTCATAGAAAAAATAATAATGTTTTGGCATTGATCTGGTGAGCTGAGTATATTTTGTTTCGACTCAAAAGGTTATTTTTTCTGTTGTTGTTGAAATAAGGACAGTCTACGAAAATATGTTTAATAGATAGAGGGGGATCTTGAGGAGTCATTAAATAATTCCTCAAAATAATTTGTTGCGCATACAAATCTAAGATTTGTTATTGTTTGAAACAGCAATACATTGTTTCTTATTAACGCAAATTAGCAATACATTCCTAGTGGTTCAGTTTTTTTATTTCAACGTTTTTGGCCGATTTCTTATTTTTTCTGGGGATGCGTTCTTAGCTAGGGAATGATGGGGTAGTTTTTGGGGATCGGTATATATACCAATAAATATCAATTAATTAGCAATAAAATATGCTCTTAAGATTGGTTCTGTAGTCGTATTCATTTCCGATATATTGCTAGGGGCTATGCTAGATTTACCATAAAGTTGGCATAATCATTGTTTCTCAGAAACAGTTGTAGCAATAAATTTGTAGTTTTTTAGCGTAAAACTTCGACAATAAATTAGCAATAAATTCCTTGTGGTTCGATTTTTGGCCGATATCTCGGTTTTTAAGGGATGAGTTTTGCGCTAGGATGTTGGAGATGATGGATGATGGGGTAGTTTTTGGGGATATGTCAATATACCAATCAATAGCAATTAATATACAATAAAATATACCATAAAGATAGGCCCTATACTGTTCTTTGCCGAGATGTAGCTATGGCTATGCTAGCTTTACAGTAAAGTTAGCATACCCACTGTTTCTTTGTAGTGTTGGTCTGAATTCGGCCTTATAAAATCTATATGATAAATTTATAGACATTTAAGACAGATCCGTCCTGGCCTATAACGTGTAGAACGAAGTCCTGAAAATAGATGGCCAGATAAAATTCAAAAATAGTCGTCAACAGGTAGAAGACAACGACGTAGACCTAGAATGAAGTAAATATTATATTTACAGAGAATAATGAATAAAAATAATGATACAAATTAAAAATGAAGTACATTAAAATTAAAAAATACTCGATTTCATCACCATAAATATTTTTTTCAGGTTCTCCACTTTCATCTTATAAAATATTTGGCGGACAAGACGCAACAGAAGGGCAGTTTCCATATCAGGTATCATTGCAAAAAGACGATTGGCCTTTTGGCTACCAGCACTTTTGTGGTGGTGCTATCATTTCTTCAAACTGGGTGGTTACTGCAGGACATTGTTGCTGGTCTATGTATCCCAATCTTCATATAGTCGCCGGAATATTAAAAGTACATGAACAAAGCGAGAACACACAAGTTAGAGTAGTTCAGGAGCACTACATCCATGAAAATTATTCTTAGTAAGTATAACTAATATTAATAACATTCTTCTTGGTGTGCCTATGATGCTGTGATGCTGTGATGGATGTTGGCAATCATCATGATAATTTTTATCTTATCTACAGCAACACCGAAAAGATGTACAGATGTTGTTTTGAACCAGGTTCTGGGTTTCTTTAACCAGGATGTCCTTCTGCTTCCTGGACATCGCCTTCTAAACATTTTTCCTGCAGGATCGCTTGCAGGATGGTATATCTGAATTCATTTTGCAATGTTCGAAGTACTGTAGCTTTCGGGAGTATAATTGTCTTTTCGCATTTGTATACTTTCGAAATTCCAGGGCAATGATTCCATGTTCATTCAATCGTATGGCATGTGTTTCGATTCGAAATAAAAAAGGGTAGCGATCCTCATATTGAATGCCATTCTTACCTTGTCGGTAAAAATACGATGAAGAAATAGGATTGGTGATGTAATAACAAAAACGGTTCCTTAAATGCAACCTGGCAATAGAACTCTAGAAAGATAAAAAATATTTATATATTTTATGATCAAACAACAAAAAAAATGATGCGAAATGAAAAGAAAAATACTTACGGCAATATACGAGTTTTCGACACAAAAATTATTCTAATTATTTAACGTCCACTGCCATCGTAGTACTAAACTGAAATGCCTCAAGCAATTAAGCAAGCATTTTAATTGAACACGGCCTGTGAGACTTGTTCACCCCTTGGAATTACGTTCGGGTGTAACAATTCATTAGAGCGATGTACATCAATACGTATATAAACAGGAATATCACTTCACCGCACTCCAATGCTTCAGAGTATCCCTTTCCTTCCTATAACACTCTCATGCGCGATAGGGGTACAACTATTAGCCAAATGCTCTTCATGTAGGAATCCTGAGTAATAAAACTCCACCGTAGTACCCTACCGATTCAAATTCAGGCTAGCGTTAAGCGCTTTATTCCTATTATCCTCTTGTGAATTGTCCGCGAAACTAAAATTGCTTACTTAAGTGTAAAACTTGGCGTCTGGGTTTTATATACCCTATTTCCAGACAACTTGAAAAAGTTCATGAAAACATTTTTAATAGATAAGTGAGTCTGTGTTTATAATGTGAGTCTAAGGCAATAAAGACAATATACGTGATATTATATGTACAGCACAATCAAAATTTGAAGGGCCATTATTACTAGAAAAATGAAACGATATACTGTAATCACTGTAGTAATATAATTTAACTATCCGATAGTTTATTCTTTCATAAATTGCTTTAGTACCAAAACGAATTAATGATTTAATAATACACATTATATAAAACAATTTTGCATAACTCTATAACCATTTATTCAAAAAATTTTTGATGTTTTTACTTTGGTAAAATAGTTATTTCTAATTATTATTTTAGTGGTGTTCAACCAAACGATATCTGCGTAATTAAAGTAAACGAAACTTGGGTTTTTAATGACCACGTTAAACCAATAGACCTTCCTATCCAGGATTTAAATGCCACAGGAACAGTAGTAGCATCTGGTTGGGGACAATCAGGAGGAAATTTATTCCCACAGTTCCCTGATGTATTACAATGGCAAGAATCTGAAATGCCCGATGAAGAAAGTAAGTTTATTTTTTACTCATTTTAAGCTTCTTCTTTATCAAATAACCTCTCCATTACGAAAGATATCATGACTGCTATAAGTTGAAAGAACTACTCTTTGAGTAGTTGAATTGAAACGCAGCCACATTAGTCTTTTAGGGTTTTCACCCTTGAATTATGAACCACAATGTGTTTCTTCTACGGGTTATATATCTAAGATATTTTAGTTTTCTTTCTTTTATTGCTCTTTTAACTTTTTTTCTTTCTTCATTCTTTTTTACATTTCAACGTTTGTAGAGTTATCCACCCATAAGACCGTCAGAATCATTCTCTTTAACAAATTGGATTTTTACGTATGTATATCAGTTACCTAGTCTGCTGCTAGTGCTGCTATAGTTCTCCAAGCTATCTAAGAGATGCATTATCGTTCAAAGTCGATAATAATTGTATTTGAACACACAACAGGAGTTCTTACGATATATCGGATCACAATTATTATAACAAGGTAATGAAAATAAGTAGGGGAAATGTGGGTACACCTAGACGAAAAAATTTAGGTCTTCATATTTTTTTCAAAATGTTTTAATTTACTAAAGTATGGAGAAAAGACATGACTAGGATAATTGGTAATACATATAAACACTGAAAGTACCAAAAATATCGTATAGGAAAAAGGTTCACTCAAATAAAAAAAATATTTGCAATTGTCTCAGTGGACCCTTTCTTGGGGAAACTGTGAGACAACAGTATCTTTTTGATTTATTTTTGTCCCAACTAATAGACAGTCTTCTTAAATCGAAATTTATTGCTGTTCTTTAAGACTTGTTACAAAAAGAGAAGAAAAACACATTTTGGATCACTCATAACTAGGTACTTTAAGAAATAGTATCAGTTACTAAATTAACAAAAAAAGACCCCGTCTGATAACATGCGATTCTTTTAATATATTAACAATTTGACCTGTAGAAATAGTACAACTGTCAGGACATTAGGAAATACAAAACAGTTATTGTTTTTGAACTTTTTCTCATAAAGTTAACTTCGACAGCCATAATATTGTGATTTACAACTTACCCCACAAAATACTTTTTCCCTGTTTTATTTTTGGCATCATAATCAAGTCTAACCAATATGAAATCTTTGACTTGAATCCTTGAAACTATGATTGGTCAACTATTAAATTGGTAAAATCTTATTCGTCATTATCTGAATTTTCAAGGCCCATTGAACTATCTGAATCGTGAACTGAAAATTTTGAATAAGAAGAGTCATCAGATTCTATCATTTTTTCCTTTCTGGAATTATTAACCTTTGACAATATATTTACCTTAACAGTTTCAATCGCCGTCTTCTTTATTCTAATTTATTATAGCTCGTTTTTCTCTGGTGTATCTTTAGCGATTATTGTCTTTCCCTTTTTTTGTTTTGCGTATTGCTGATACGTTGGCTTTCTTTGAATATCCTCGTATTTTCACAGGATTCACAAATTGTAGTTTCATATCTTTTTCTGGTGTCTGTTTCCTTTGTTCGTCAAGTTGATGAAGATGAATTTCACTCGTAGAAGTAGAAGGTAATTATTCCTCCAACGATTCTGACTGAGCTGATCTATTCGTCACATGACTCGCCAGAAAATCTCCTTCGCTAAAGACATGCCGATCAAATGGAAAAATGCCTGTCTCCTTGAAATCTGCAGCTATGTTTACAGGGGCCATTGCTCGGGGATAGACCACTTCTACAAATGATGCCACATGATATATAGTTGCTGGTGTTGCTGAATTAGCTTTATTCCACGAACGTAGGGCGTCATTGTAAAAGATATATAAAGGTTTTAGAAGACCTACATTAAGCGGTTGTATTTGTGGGTACCGGGTGGTCCAATAAGCCGATCTCTCGGCTATATATCAGAAACTATTCGTGTTATAACTTTAGGAGAAAAAATTCCTTAGTAAAAGTGGCCAATAGAAATTGCTGGAAATAACTTTCAAGTATATGGGATAATCGCTAGGGGGCGTAACGTGTGAAGAAAAATTTGAAAACCAGTTTTTTGTGAAATATGCCCAATTATCCCAAGTGTTAAATGATTAAACCATAAAGAGGCCTACATTGCGCATAAAGTAGTTTAAGTATTTTTTTTATTTTTTAAATAAAGGGTGTGGGTGAGTGGGAAGTTATTGGTGGATAAATACCTATAACTTTGGTTTGGATCAACCGATTTTAACGAAATTAGTGTCATTAGAAAGAGTGTGGATGAATTAATTTACATCTACTATAAAATAATTGCATTTAGTTTGAATTGTCAAAGGTAGAGGTTACTTTCGAATAGAAAAAATTAAAATTTGTTTTTCTTTAAAATTTATAATGGAAACACTCTTTTATTGTAAATTATAATGGAACTAGATTAAATTCGTAACAAAATGGCGCAAACCGTATGTTAATAGCTTTTGTCTAACTCGAGATATAAATAAAAACGTATAAACATAAGTAAGTAGAGTATTGACTCACCCTGTATTATAAATTATTAAAAAATTAGTCAGTAGGTACTTTCAAATTTTTTTATAGCAGAATCTTAATGTTGATACCTATTTTGACCATTGTCATTTCATATGATTAAAAATAGTTTTTTTCGAAACTAAGTAGGCTACGACAATGAATTTGACGGGAGTTCATATTGTTTATATATTGACAGCAGTCAAAAACATTGTTAAGAAGTGTTATATTATAATTCGAATTAAAGATTGCACTTTTTTCAATAGATATTAATATTGGTAATATTAGTAATTAACTATCAGTACTAATAATTCGTGATGAGTAGGTATATCAAATGCAGAATTGTATGATATGATTGGAGTTTATTTCGAATGTCACCAAAATGCCGTTATTACCTCACGTATATATTCTGTAAGATATCCTGACAGGAGACATTATGGCAAAGAAGTATTTGAAAGAAAAGATCTCTATAGAATTAAAAATACCCAAAACTACTGTTCAAAGGATTTTAAAACATCACAGGTTGGTTTTTCATACAGTTCATAAAGTGAAGGTTTAGGTCAGAAACTTGGAATTCCCTTTTAAACTTTAGATTCAACTATTATTTTAATATTCCGATAAAAACGGCAACAAGGCACTTTTATCCTTTTATCCGTTTCTTAAAAATACTTATGCACTATTTATCTTGTGAAACAATTGTGGATTTTTCAAGATTTTTGTGTTTTACTAAATATAGTGGTTTCTTCTTCACCAATATTTGTTGTTCTATTTTTTAGGCTGCATCCTTATCATGTAGTTCTCCGCCAAGCTTTACATGAGAGAGATTTAGATGCAAGGCTGGATTACTGCAATTGGATGCTAGGTCTGCTAAAAGAACAACCGCATATCATGTCATAGATTTTGTGGACAGAAGAGGCCGTTTAATAGTGCGGGTGATGTTAATCTGCATAATATGCATTATTGGGCTGAAGAAAATCCGCACTGGATGCATGAGGTGCAGGTTCAAGGTAGATGGAGTCTTAATGTTTGGTGTGGTATAGTTGATGGAAAGATCGTAGGTTCATTTTCTTTGATAGAACTTTAAATGGCGAAACATATTTAGATTTTCTGGAAAATCAGTTGCCTGTTTTATTGGAAGATATTTCCCTACAAACAAGAAGAGATATGATATTACAACATTACGGGTGTCCTGCGCACTTTTCCAGATGAGTTCGAGATTATTTGTATGCAAGTTATCCAAATAAATGTATTGGAAGGGGAAGTATATTTTCATGGCCAGCTAGATCTTCAGACTTAACAAATCTGGACTTTTATCTGTGGGGAAGATTGAAGGACTAAGTGTACCAAACTCTACCAACCACGCGAGATGACATGAAACAGCGCATTATAAACGCAATAAATAGTATATCAACAGCTGAGATTGAAGACACTGTTGTGTATACGCGAAAGATTGCATCTTTGTGTGGACAACGATGGAAAACAATTTGAACATTTAATCGGACATTCAGTTTTAATGATCGAGATATTTGTATGATCTTTCACATATTTAATTTGAAGTTATAATAAAGGGTGAGTCAATACTATACTTAGTTATGTTTATGCGTTTTTATTCATATCTCGAGTTCGACAAAAGCTATCAACATGCGGTTTGCGACATTTTGTTACCAATTTAATCCAGTTTTATTCTAATTTACAATAAATAGGTGTTTTCATTAGACATTTTGAAGAAAAACAAATTTTAATTTTTTCTATTCGGAAGTACCCTCTACCCATGACAATTAAAACTACATATAATTGTTTTATAATAGATGTAAATTAAATTATTCACACTCTTTCTAATACCCTTAATTTCGTTTAAATCGGTTAATCCAACCCAAAGTTATAGGTATTTATCCACAAATACTTTCCCACTCTCCCCCACCCTGTATTTGAAAAAATAAAAAAAAGTACTTGAACAACTTTGTGCGGAATTTAGGCCTGTTTCTAGTTTACCTATTTAACACTTGTATAATTGGGTATATTTCCCAAAAAACTGATTTTCAAAGTTTTCTTCACAGGTTACGCCTCCTAGCGGTTAACCCAGAAACTTAAAAGTTGTTTCCAGCGATTTCTCTTGGCCACTTTTACTAAGGAATTTTTTCTCCTAAAGTTATAACATGAATAGCTTCTGATATATAGCCGAGAGATCGGCTTATTGGACCACCCGGTACAAAGAGGAGGAACTGTCAAGATTAAAACACCATTCTCTTTGCACAAATTAATTCCTTCTATTGAGATGTGACTCTCATGATTGTAGTTTATCTAGTACCTAGTTTATCTTTGTACCAATCTATTGATTCTTGGTCTGACTGTTTCCAATTGTGCGGTGGGTTAATATTATTAGCTTTGGTCAAATCATAGGTTAATCGTTAGACAGTCGGTTACAGTTAGCCCATAAAACATCTTTGAGCAAGTCATAATGTATTGAACAAAAACTTCTAACTGTGACGAACAAATTTGTTTAACTTTGTAGTTAGGACTCATCCTACAAGTAGGGTCTGCTTTGTATTTTTTTACATATCTGCTTAAAGTTTGGAAGCTTAAGTTTTTCGTCTGTGAACCGACCAATGGTTTTTGCAGTTTTCTTGGGACGCACCACAGTACAAATACACAATAACTAGTTCAGTTAGTTTAATCTTTTACCAAAAGGAAAACACCATAGTTTTATAAGGAAACAGTGAGACAACTTATAAAATGCCCCACAGTACCCACATAGGAAATGTCTCACTGTACCTACATCACAATTTTTGCAGTTAAACAACTTAAAAATGTTTCTGAAACTAATGCGTAAGAAAATAACATGCTTTAGACTTACCTTAAATACATAACTATCGATTACTATCAACACCACAATTTTATTGTTATTAGTTTTTTTAATACAAACTTTAAAAGTGCGAGCAAAACAAATATTTTGACAATGACTGAACACTTGACATCGTCTAAGAACAAAATGCTTCAAACTGTCATTGCTTCTAAGAGATCAATGTCATAGTAATACCGCCAACTTAGTTTTTTTTAGTGGTGACAATAATCGAAATTTAATTTTTCAAATATTGGCAAATCAAATGTCTCACTGTTCCCTCTGTCTCACTGTAACCTCTATTCCCGTACCTAAGTCTGCCTGGAAAATGTGACTATTGTATGTCCGTATTGCGCTACAATGTTTGTATCTATCATTGTTTTCCTATACACGCGAACTGACTGAGTGTTACGAATTATATTACTGAACTTAGGAACTTCACATGCCATCTTAAATCTGTCTTGTTATGGTTTATTTATTTTAAAATTTACGTTTTTCATAAATATAATGATGTTACAGCTTGTTTGGAGTTATGTAAGAAGGTCGAAAAAACTGCCCCATACAATACCACATCAAACGTATGTACCGCAAATCCTGAGAAAGATCACGGTATATGTCAAGGAGACTCTGGTGGTCCTTTAGTCCTAGATCAACAATTGGTTGGAGTATCTTCTTGGGTATTTCTACCATGCGGCAAAGAAGGAGCTCCCTCAGTATTTACAAGGGTGAGTCATTTTGTTGACTGGATCAAGAAGCACGACAGTGAATTGTAATACCAATATTTCAATAAATATTTCACTCATTTTTTCTGTTTGTTTTATATTTTTCAATCTTAGTTAAACCTTGTTGATAATTATATGTAGGTTATTTTGATTCTTTAAGCCGATAAAATATACTTTTTATAAATAAGTATTATGAAAAAAGTATTCTATGTGAGACGAATATAACTGGCACAGTCAGTTAGTTGGTTTGTCAAACGAGCATAAGCGAACATAGTATTACCGCAGCGGCGCACCAGTGAAAGTTTTGGTCGTAAACCCCCCCTCCTAACTTATAAAGTAAAAAATATGATACGTAACTTGAACTTGTAATAGTAGGAATATGTAACTTGTCTTTAACACACAATACAAAAAATCCAAAACGCTAATTTAATAATTAAATTAACTGTAACGACCTGTACTATATGTGAAGGGTTATTTTCATCGCTGAAAGTACTAAATACTTATTTAAGAAGTTGTATTAGCGAAGAGAGACTAAATGGTTCAGCTTTAATGTTTATCCATCAGGACATTCAAATAAATGAAGAAAAGGTAATAAACCATATGGCTCTGAAGCAACGCCGTTTTAACATTTTATTATAAATTTAATTTGTTTACAAATTATTATTGAAGATACAGTTTAGGATTTAAATTAATATTTTCCATTATAATCTACAAGGAAACTATGTTCGTGTAGGTGGTTGTATACCATGTATCACAAAAAATGTATTAAAATCCTTTATAAAAGATATAATTTAAAAACCCAATCGGTCTATATCACAAAAACTTCTTTTTAATTAAGTGGTTATGTACTTTTTAGGACACTGATGATGGAACATGATGTCCGAAAACGTTTTGTGATATATCCGGATTGGGTTTTTAAATTATATACCTTTTATAATGGTTTTTAATAAATTTTCCATTATATTTAGATATAGATACCTAATATTAGGCTCATGATAAGAGTAGACAGAAGGAGTCTGTTGCGACTTTGCGAGTAACATGCGCCTACAAGACTGTATCTGCGGCGGCCTTGTGGACTATCACGGGTTGTGTTCCTCTGCAAGTGTTGTAGGGCACACCTCTGCAGGTGTGTACAAGCAGTAGAAAGGAGACGTCTTTATGAGAGAAGGGGGCATTTGACAATAGCCATAAAAAAAGAAGAAAGGGAAAGATCAATGGAAAGATGACAAGAAGAGTGGAGCAATACGTAAAATGTTGCCCATTGAACCAATATGCTGATCCCGATAATAAGGCACCAAGGATTGTTTGTTTTAGGAGGCGAGCCTAAGCAACTGCGTAGATTGTCTGTTTTAAGACGTATCTTCATAGGTTCAGAAAGACAGATACAGATAAATGCCTATACTGCGAATATTCCGACAATGTTACTCACACAATACTGGAGTATAATAGATGTACAGGGGAGAGAAACAGAATGTATAGGGAAATAGGTATGAGCCCTGTGACTGTGAGAGTCAAAGAAGACAAAGAGAAACACCAACCGGACCAACGACAGAGATAAGATCTAGATAAGAGAAAGGAGTATTTCCTTCTATTATCTAGATGTAATGAATAGAGAAAATTTCATCAGCCTTACAGCGGCTATTCCACTTTCGGAGTACGGTACGTGCGACACAGTTAACTGCGCACAAGTAGGAGAGGGTGGTTTTAGTTGGTAGGCAGGATAACACATACCTGAATCTTTGGCACTGCTATCTTTAATACTCTCTTCTTCATGTAGTTCCTTCTCCTATCGAAGGTTGACTATAATCACAGCTATCCATACCTTATTGGCAGCTGCTCTGAAAAGATCTACTGAGCTGTAACTATACTACTCTCTTAGGTTTCTTAGCCAGAAAATTCTTCGTCTTCCTATGGATCTTTTACCCTTGATTTTACTTTGCATTATAAGTCTTAATATCTCATATTTCGCACCTCTAGTAATTTGGCCTAAATATTCCAGTTTTCTTGTTTTGATGACCTAGCAATCGTTTTGTAGCCTTCTTAACACTTCTGCATTTGTAACTCGTTGGGTCCCTGGTATTTTCAAAATCCTCCTATAGTACCATTGTATGTGTACCACATCTCAAATGATTCCAACTTCTTTATATTATCCGCTTTTAGTGTTCAGCTTTCCATTCCATACAACAAAGTCGAGAACAGGTAGCATCTTAAGGCTCTTATGCTCAGCTCCAGAGAAAGCTTGTCTTGCAATTTCAATGCGTGTCCTTATTTCTCTATCTTGGTCATTGTTTTCATTTACCCAGGTTTCCAGATATTTAGTACTTTAAATTAAACTAAAACTTAAATTTTAGGGACTCAAAATAGAGGTAGCATAAAAAAAATTCGGTACTCAACCAACCCCCCTACCTTGAAAATTCTACGTGCGCCACTGTATTACCGTTACGTTTCTACGTTTTATTGGACATTTGAAAAAAAAAATATCTCTGCGAAAAAGTTACAGTTGGGTGAATTGATCAAAATAATATTTCTCATAGTCAAAATTCTAGACCTTACAAAAATATTAACTATTCGACTAATACAAAATTCATTTTCCGACTTAACAAAATATTTATTAAATACAGTAAGCTCAATATACACCAAGAAATAAATATTCAACTCAAACAAATATATGACAACTTTTTCTTCAAAACGATTAAATTCCTAATACAAGTAGAGATATATGTTTTAAAGCCTTCATCATCATCGTAATACAGCCGTCTGCGTCCTAAGTTGAACATAATCCTCCCCTAATTTCTTTCAGTTCTGGCGGTCTTAAGCTTCTTCTTCTTCAAGTGCCCTGTCCGTTGCGAACGTTGGCTATTAACATGGCAATTTTGATCTTGTTTGCGGCGCTTCTGAATAGTTCGACCGATGAGAGCCCGAACCACTTCCGCAGATTTTGGAGCACGAGTGTCTTCTCCTGCCTAGCCCTCGCTTACTGTCTATTTTCCCTGGACAATCAATTGTAGCAGACGGTACTTATCTTGTCTCATAAGCTCTCTTAAGCTTCCTGCAGCCAATTCCCATCGATTATTTTGACGTCGTCTGTCCATCTTGTAGGTGGTCTGTTCCTGCTTCTTTTATTCGCTCGTGGTCCCAATACTATAATTTTTTGGGCCCATCGCTCATTCTGGTCACATGGCCCGCCAGTTCCGCTTCAGCCATGCTATGCGCTCTATGATATATGTGACGCATGTCCTTCTTATCTCTTCGTTTCTAACTCCTGTAGCCTGGGTTAAAGAAAATATTTCGGCACCGTAAGTCATGAGTGGAAGCACACATTGGTCGAAGGTCTTCTGTATCAAATAATTTAGCATGTTGTTCCTGAAAATGAGCTTTGCAGTTCAGTAGTTCAGTAGTTCCTAGCGATTTGGATTTCATGATCTAAGTATTTATATTTATGAACTAATCCTATTTCGTTCGAATTGACTTGACTATCGCTTAGTACCAGATTTGTCATGTATCGTGTCTCTCCAAAATTTATATTCAAACCAACTTTATTACAGGCTGCATCTAACTCAGTAAGCATCAAACTTTCGTGATGACCTGTCTATTTTTTATTGCAGGATTTTGTGTGAGAGCTGATTCTTTTATTTGTCTTTTATGAGGGTGAAATTATACACAACACTTTTACCGGTTTTTTATTTTAATTCCACGATATATGTTTAACTGATACAATTTACAATAATAAATTACACCTTTCAATACTAAATTACTTTGCTCTTGTGCAGAACGGAGAGAGAGAGAGAAAGAGAGAGAGAGAGAGAGAGAGAGAGAGAGAGAGAGAGAGAGAGAGAGAGATAACAATGTCTTGAGCGACTTGCCCCCTTGAATGACTAAAAAGGAGACTATTTTTGAATTTAAATACAGGTATTGATTAATATATACAAAGAGGTGTGCGAGCTGGAGAGGTGTCAGTTATGCTGACGATCGACTGGTCTTTTGGTCTGGTCTGGATCTCTGGTCAACACAGTGGCGGTGTTATCTTAAATTGGAGTAGTGACAAGATATCGTTGGTTTTCCAACAATACCTTTTAATTTTACTGCTAGCTCCCACTATAACGTTTTCACGCAAATCTATTTATGCAGATGACATGGCTTTATGTATATAAGAAAAAAACATCGAGAACACCCAAGCTATTCTAGAAGAAGAAATAAATTTGTTATAAACACATGTCCTACAGACAGCAGTTACGGCTTTTCATCTAAATAGCCGTGACGTAAAATATAGACTAAACATAGTAAGCAAAGGAATTTTTCTAAAACATATTTTTAACCCAAAATATCTCGGTGCAATACTAGATCGCACTTTAACTTTCAAGGAACACTTACATAACTACAGCTTAAGTAAAAACTAGCAACAATTTCATTCATAATGAGGACAAGCCCTCTTGCATTAGTCTATTCAACAGCTGAATGTTGTTCTCCAGTTTGGCTAAATAGTCATTATACTAACGTTCTAGGTGCATCTAAATCAAACCATGAAATATAATATGGGGACCATAAAGAGTACGCCAACTCACTAGCCTCCAGTTTTAAACAATATTGCACCACTTAAAACACGACGGTTAGCTATTCTAAGCTCAATACCAGAAATTTTAAGAGAATTCACCTCTGCCAATAAATACCGACACCGATCAACTAAATCAGGGTCAATTGTGGGAGATCTTCCAAACAATTTTACAATAGATGAGCATTGGAAAGGCGAATGGAACAAAGAAACTAACGACACATGCCCAATAGAAAATCCCACAGATAATGTAATCTGAACCGAATCAGACTAGGTAATTTAGTATGCAATAAATCGTTTATGGAGCATTTCAGACACCCCGCTAGTTTAAACGGAATCTATGAACTAACTCCTGAGGCAATGGAATGACTCCACGATAGGACTCCAATAGAATGACTCCACTGGGGCTTTAATATTTGCACGTATTTTATTATAATGTATTGTTATATTAATAGTGACGGATGGCTGATCTAAGAAGTCAGCAATCTCCGGGCAATTTATGGAGTATTATGGGAGTACATTATATAGCAGCAGGGAG